TCTACCACCCTCCTAAACTAGTTTTTTTGATAGCGACTTTTGAAACTTAAACGGTAACGTATATATTTTTTAAACTTTTTAAATTAAGAATATTTTACTAAAAATTTTGACTGGTCGATAACCAGTTTTGGATAACTATTTTTGTCATTGAAGTTTCAAGTTTTGGGCAGGAAGAATGGTGCAGTGTAGTATTATTTTTATCTGCGCGCACTACCCCTCCCATCCTAACTTTAAAACTCTCATACCTTTAAAAATAATTATCCTATTAGACCTCTTAGAGACAGTCCTTATTAATACATTTATACTCGTTTAATAGAGTAATCCGTTATTAACGGCCGGTTGTTGTCTTATGGATCTCGTGTTGCTGCGCAGCTATTTATTCCACTCGCTTCTACTAAATATAAAGTTATAAGTCGTTTAAAATTGGCAAGAAACAACAGCAACCGCGGACGGACAAATTTGATTTAATATTTAATTTAATTATAAAGTTACCGAGCTGGAAAAGCTGCAGTGATGTGATTGGTTTAGCTATATATTTTATATATTGTTTTTAAAAATAGCATAGTCGTTATTTTGCTACACGATAACTTTACATATAGACTAAAGTAGGCGCTGATAACGTTATAAAAACTTATTTTAAATCAACCTTTATGTTGTTTTTTATCAAGAACTGCTAAAAATGAATCATTAGATTAGAGGACACCACGAAGCTATACACGGGCTAAGCTAACACTTAAAGTTTTGTTTCTATAAGCGCATCGCGTTTGTACGATTTTGTGGTTTGAATTATACTACGTATATATACAGTAAGCCGGAACTGCCTTTAAAATGTATAGTAGCGAGTGCGAAGTCGAGTGGATATAGCGTGTCAAACGGTAATCTGTTTGAATCATATCTAGGGAAAAATATGGCGAACTTAACAGAGTCACGATACAGTGCGGTTTTAATACTACCAAAGTTTGCGAATTGCTTTGGTCACCGGAACAGCCAATGTATATAACTAAAACTTGACAGCTATAAACGTCGAATTAATAAGTAATAAGATAGGTGAGCATATCCGTTCGTAAACAATTCGTGCAGTACCCCTTCTTTTTTGCATAGTGCCGTGACCGACATAGCAAAGTCTCTAATTTTTTTGTTTGCGTTTTATTTTTGTTTTTACCCCATAGGCTTTTAGCGGCACGATTAACGCTAATAAGTGGAATGTTTTTTATTTATTAATTATGCACGATGATTAACGCGCTGCTGTCGTTATTTGAAGTGTTAAACCTTTAAAAGACCATTAAAATATAGAAAATAAACCATTGAAAACCTAAACCGACAGGTCAAAACAAAACAGCTCTCGTTGGAAAAAGTCTTGTCTTATTGAAATACATTTTTTAATTTATCCATAAATCTAGGACAAGTAACAAATTGTTTAACAATAATATATGTTTATTTTATTACGGACGAAGACACAATAATTAGTTAACCGCCTTTGAACATTACCACTTTTTATCAAAATTTAGACCCTTTAAATACTTGCTTTGACTGCTAGTACAGTGGGGTCTTAGTGGGGTTTTAGTATTAATGTGGGAACGATTAGGGTTGGTTGGTCGTTTGTCCATGATTAGGTGTATCCGTTCATGTAACTCATCTCTAGATCGCGCCACCGGATACATTTATGTCCTGTTTCTATCAGATTTATTAGGGGATTTAGTTCAGAGTAGGATGTTTGTTACGTGGACTAATATATAGCTATTATTAAATGCAAACAATGTGCATTTTGTAATATTAAACAAATTAGTTTGTTAAGTACATTAACAAGTAATAAGGTTAGTAATATGCTTGAGCCTTGATTACACTTTAAGTTTGATGATTTACGAAAAGTTCAATCATTAGTCTTAATAAATCAGTAAAATATTTAATCTACAACCAGATGTTGGTAGTCAAAAAGTTAGCAATTTATCATCTAGTCCAAAGTCAGATTCTTTAAATTATTGACAATTTCTAATATTTAGTAATTAATTTATACTTGTGATTATTGTAGAATGTGCTAGAAATTATTTGACATCACTTCTACAAAGAAATACAAATGAGTAGCCAAAACTGATTTTGTACCAACAAATTAATACTGGTATTTGATTTAAAGGTTTTGTGTTAAACCCTTGTCTTAATATAAATTTTCTAAACTTATTATTATTCTGCTAAAAATATATTTTAAATTTAGCCTTATTTCTATAACTTATATTTTTTATCGTACATGATGGGAACTGATTTCCATAACTGATTACGTACACAATTATGTATGTATTTCTTAAAGTTATTATGTGCTTTGATAAACATATAATACGAACTAATCGTATTAATCGATGGTCGAATTACAACTTATTATTCGGTTTTAACTTTCAATATTTTATTAAATTTAGAACTACCCGCACAGAATCGACGTGCAGACTTTGTCGTAATAGAAAGGAGTAAAGACCGTGGTCTTATTCTGGACCCGACAATTCGTTGGGAAACAAATGACCCACAGCAAGATAGTAAAGTAGAGGAAGAAAAGAAAAGTATCTATGAACCGTGCATTCCATGGCTTCAGAAACAATATGAAATCACAAGTTGGGAAGTATCTGGACTTTGGTTTGGAGCTCGGGGTACAGCCTCAGGATTCTTAAAATCATTCTTCCGATCATATAACCTCACTACAGATGACCTTATCCAAATATACCTATCTATTTTGAAAGACACGTTAGACATGATAAATTACCACTTGTATTCATAGCAATAAGTTTTCTCTGTCTTACTGTGTGTGCATTTTGTATAAATATTTTATTGTTCGTTAAATTTGAAGATCATCATGTAATCTAATATATTATTGAATTTGTTATTTATTTATTTGTACTATAAATTTAATAGTGTTTTTTTTGTATTGTGAATTTAGAATATTGTCTTATGTATTTGATTATTGAGTAGTATTCTGTGTCTTTTGGCAACCCGCATGGCGAAACACTATATTTAAATTTTAATTTAATAAAAGTTGTTTCTCTCTAAAAAATAAACGAAAATACGAAATAATTTTTTTTTCGAGTCCAACTAATGTTAAAGCAATTTTTTTTTTAGAAATCATCAACCTTATTTTATTATTTTGTACGTAAAAATCAATTATATCTGAAATTATTTTTTTAAAAATATTTTTATTTATTTTATATATGGATCATTAAGTTAATATATCAGTTTAGTTTTTGTAAAATACAAGTAGAAAAATAACTTAAATACAAATGACAACATACATAGGTGAGGAATCTTTACCAAACTATATTGATTTAACAAATTATTATAAAAATGATAATTTTTGATTTTCCAAGTTTAAATAAATAATAAACTATTTTCTTATTTCAACATTTACTTTAAATTATTGATAAAAATAATATTGATTCAATAGAAAGTAGTACTTCTTAACTCCCACTATATTTAAGCTATTGACGGTAGAGCTTCTTTTAAAGTGGCCCGACCTTAAAAATCTTGAAATAGGTACGCCTTTGGGCGGTTATTGTACATATTTCGTTTTGTCGCTAACTCCGTTTAATATTTCAAAAAGAAAAAATAACATGCCGCTCTTGTTATGGGCGCACGCACTACACATACGCCGAATGATGTGCTGCAGCTGTACCTTGGCTCTTTGTCACAATATGTTTCCGATTTTCTCAACCAGAATGACAATAATATACAAATGTAATAATGCAGTCGGCGACATCTGCGCAACAATTGATATCGAATTAAAAGAAAAAATACATTAGGTACAACACACTTACTGTTTGTTGGACGTTTGAAACGTTTACTCTAAAAATTATTTGAGAATATAATAAAATAAAATATTTAATATGTTTATAACAAGTAGGGACGAATCTATAATAAAAATACACTTGTAAGCTATTAAACTGTGTAACTTGTCTGACGATGAACAAAGAAAAAGTTTACCATCGACCGCGTGCTCCCTGATCGGATGTTAGTCAAGAGTGGTTCACGCGAGCCAGTTTGGTTGCGTGACGGCAAACCACAAGGAGTCGCACGCAAAATCGCCCATTATTTAATAATAATATATTATCGACGTGAATTGTGTACTATACATTTATATGACCACGGTCATAGTGATAACTCTAAATTAAGGTAATTTTTGTCAAAAGTGAGTTTTTATTTTTATAAAATAAATATTTTAAGTGTATAAACACAAGTACAATAATTTTGGAATTCGCCCTATTTATTTATTTTAGCGGTTAAAGATATCTTGGACAAAAAGCGAACGTGTGTTGTTATTTGTAAGATGTAAAAAAAAAAAAATAGATACCCAATAAAAAATGTGTTTTCTATTCAATTGATTGCATTACTCTGCATGTACATCGATTGTGCGCTACTGTGTTACGGACACACGCAACCTATTGTCTGGGCGGATATACGGATGTGTTTTGATTGTAGATACCTAATTCGCTCGGCAATAAATAAGAGCAAAAAAAACATTAAAAAAAAAAAAATCATACACATAATATGTAACGATAAAGCATACGAAAATAGTAGGTAGTTATTACAATAAAAATATGTCGTGATGTTGTTGCTGCGGGTACCCGAAAAAAAAAAATCAGGTGGTCAAACATACTATGTATACACACACAATACATTCTCTGTATCCAAAACATAATGTTATCCCAAGACCCCATTGTGAGTGTCCGCATAAGCATTATTGTTGTATGCATGTGTGTAAGGGACTAAGGGTGGGCGACACATATTTCCAAAAAGAATAATATTATATATATATACGGGAAAGACCTAACAAAAAAATGAAAAGAAAAGAAAATATCACCACCGCAGTTACTTATACACAGAAGCCGCGTCCCGTCCTGGTGGGATTGCGACGGCGGCCAAACAAGTGGTTGCACCACGCTCGGAGCGCCGTCTACTGGCGGCCGGCAGTATCGCGGACACCGGTGGTCGACGGACGAGGAGAACGCATTACTAGTCGACGGACTGCCGCGTTAGTTTCTCGCAGACGACCGTACCGATCGGTCTGCTTTTATCGTTGTTCGCAGTGACGGTACAGTGTGCGCTCGCGTGTGTACGAATCGGAATATAATTTTATAATACTATTTTAATATCGTAAAAACGAAATATTTTTATTGTGCGTGATGTGCGTTCGGTGATGTTATTGAAGTGATTTTTTTTTATATTTTCGTAATGCGTGAAAGTGTGTCGAAAATGAAGTGGTGTTTTCCGGCCGCCGTGTTGTCGGCAGCGGTCGCGCTGTCGTTGTGCGCGCGGACCGCGGATGCAAACAACGGCGACCCCGTGTGTGACTGGCAGCGAGTGGACAACGAGCCGCCTTTGCGGGTCGTGCTCAAATGTTCGTTACGGACCATCAACAGCGCGGACACTGTCATATCTAACCTGACGTCCGCCCAAATGGATATGATCACTAGTTTGACGCTTAAGTGCAGTGACGTGATATTTTTCGAGAGTAGTCTTGAGAATAGCTTTCTGACGCAACTCCGGCGGCTCAACCACTTGGACTTGGAGTACTGCAAAATTAAATACGTGCCACCCGCCGTGCTTAGTACGTCACGGGAACTGAAACAGTTGCGGATACGCACGCACAACACCGACTGGTCCGCCATGACCATGGACTTCCATTCGGACAGTCTGCGCGGTCTTAATCAACTGAGGGAGCTCGACTTGTCCGACAACAACATTTGGAACTTGCCTAAAGAACTGTTCTGTCCGCTGGCCGGTCTGAAAAATTTAAACCTGACCAAGAACAGGCTGCAAGACGTGTTCGAGCTTGGTTTCTCCGACTGGGGCAACGGGCCCACGGCGCCCGGAAAAACGTGCAACACCGCGCTCGAGGACCTCAACCTGGCCAACAACGATATCATATCGATGCCCGACAACGGCCTGACCAGTTTAAGAGCGCTAAAAAAATTGTTCCTCCAAGAAAATCAAATCAACCAGATAGCCGACCGCGCGTTTGTCGGACTTACCTCGCTTAATGTACTAAATGTTTCCAGCAATCGGTTGCCCGCGTTACCGCCCGAGCTGTTCCATTCCACTAGGTATCTGCGTGAAGTGTACTTGCACAACAACTCGATTAACGTGTTGGCCCCCGGTCTACTCGAAGGCCTGGACCAACTGCTCGTCCTAGACATGTCCCACAATGAGCTGACCAGCACCTGGGTGAACAAGGACACATTTTCCGGACTGGTCCGACTCGTGGTGCTCAACCTCGGCCATAACCAGCTGACGAAAATCGACTCGCATATTTTTCAAGACCTGTACAGTCTGCAGATATTAAATCTCGAACACAACAACATTGAGACGCTGGCCGACCGGGCGTTTGCGGCGCTCAGTAATTTACACGCTCTCACTTTGTCGTTTAACAAACTCAAGCGCATCGAGCCAATGCATTTTTCCGGTCTGTACGTTATCAACCAACTCTTTTTGGACAGGAACCGCATAGAACTCATCGACGAACTGGCGTTCCAAAACTGTACCAATTTACATGATTTGGGACTGTACGGTAACGCGCTACGACAAGTGCCCGCGGCCCTGTCCAAGTTGCACATGATGAAAACGCTTGATTTGGGCGGTAATGCAATTAGGCACGTGCAAAACTCGTCTTTCGACGGCCTCGATCTGCTGTCCAACTTGATCCTGTCCAACAACGAGGTATCCAACCTAACAGCTTACACATTCTCGTCGATGCCTCTGTTGAAAGTGCTCAACCTGGCGTTCAACCGACTGGCTCACGTCGACCAGAATGCGTTCGGCACGTCCAACACGCTGGAAGCGATCCGACTGGACGGTAATACGCTGACCGACATCAAAGGCATGTTCGACGGCCTGTCCCGGCTGGTGTGGCTGAACGTGTCTGACAACCGCATTGCCAATTTCGATTATTCTTTTCTGCCGCCCAGTGTTGAGTGGCTAGACATGCACAAAAATCAAATCAGGGACTTGGGCAATTATTATGTTCAGCGCGATACGATTCAAATAAAAATGTTGGATGCCAGTTTTAACCAGCTCACCGAGATCACGGACACGTCGATCCCGGACAGCGTGGAGAACGTATTTCTCAACAACAATCTCATTCACAAAATCAAAACAAATACGTTTTTGCGGAAGGCCAATCTGTCCAGGGTAGTGTTGTACGCCAACAAAATGGAATACATCGAAATGGGTAGTTTACGGTTAGACCCGGTACCCGAACAAAAGGAGTTACCGCAGTTCTATATCGGCGACAATCCACTCAAATGCGACTGCACTACCGAATGGCTACAAAGCATCAATCAGCTCAGCGTACAACGACAATACCCTCGCGTTATGGACATGGACTCGATCATGTGCCGGCTGGTACACTCCAAGACAGAAAAATACAAACCACTCTTGGACTTAAGGCCGTCTCAATTTTTGTGTGAATATACTTCTCACTGTTTTTCCGTCTGCAAGTGTTGCGATTTCTTGGCTTGCGACTGTGAAATGACGTGCCCCGACAAATGTAAGTGTTACAACGATCAATTATGGTCGTCCAACATAGTGGACTGTTCAAATGCCGGGTACAAGACTATACCGGCGCGGATACCGATGGACGCCACGGAAATCTATTTGGACGGTAACGACTTGGGCGAACTGTCCAGTCACGTTTTTCTGGGCAAGAAGAAACTGCAGGTTTTATACATGAACAATAGTAATATTGTCGCGTTGCACAACAAGACGTTCAACGGCGTGCCTGAATTGCGGGTGTTACACATGGAAGACAACCGGCTAGAACGACTTGACGGCGGCGAATTCGATACCCTGCCGAAACTCACCGAATTGTATCTGAACGACAACCAGATCACAAGCGTGGCAAACAGGTCGTTCGCGCCGCTCAAGTCTCTTCAGGTGCTTCACTTGGAAAATAATCAGATCAATGAGTTCCGGCCGTGGCAACAACTCAGCGCGGCCAACACGCTGACGTCCGTGTCGCTGGCCGGCAGCACGTGGCTGTGCGACTGCGACCTTATCGTCGGCCTGGACGGGTGGCTGAAAAACAACGATTACCCGCCGTCGTCGATGCTGTGCTCCGACAAGGTGACTTCGGTGGCCAGCGCCATTGAAAAGTGTCTGTCCGAACGCGACTCCGGGCCCAGCATCCACCGGCCGTTCTACAACACGTCCACACTGGGTAACGATTACGTGCCGTTCGTGGCCGCGACGTTGGCCCTATTCGTCGTCGTGCTGGCGCTGATCGCTCTCGGTCTGGTGTTCCGCGACGACCTTTGCTTGTGGGCTCACTCGCGGTACGGCATGCGCGTCTGTAAATCGCCGTCCGGTGAAACGGACAAGCTGTACGACGCGTACATGGTGTACAGCATCAAGGACGAGGAGTTCGTCAACCACATACTGTCCACCAGCCTGGAGCGTTTCGGGTACAGCCTGTGCCTGCACTACCGGGACATACACGTCATCAGCCCGGTGTACCTGATGGACAGCTTTTTGGGCGCGTCGGACGCGTCCAAGCGAATCATCGTGGTGCTGTCGTTGTCGTTTTTGCAAAACGAATGGGAGAAGCCCGTGTACCGGACGGCATTCCAAGCGTGCGTGGAACGGGCCAAAACGAAAAAACAGTCCGTCGTCGTCTTGTTGACCACCACCATCACTCCGGACCGGGAGCTGCAGGCCCTGCTCAAGTCGTGCGACGTGGTCACGTGGGGCGAGAAGCGGTTCTGGGATCGGCTCCGGTACCTGATGCCCGACCCAAAGCCACTGGCCGGTGCCGGCGACCTCAAGAAAGTGATATGTGACGGCCGACCCGTAGCCAGGTACACAGCCGCGCCGACGTCTCTGGAAGCTTGGATACGCATGAGTCCAGCGTCCGTAACACAATCGCAGGCGCCCACGCAGAGCTCGTGCGTTTCCGAAGAGTCTTCGCAGAGAACCACGGACGAGGACGAAGATCCGTCTAACCACAGTTACGTGTCAATCGATTACCAACAGAGGCAGAAATTGCACCACGTGTACAGCAGCATACCGGACCCGATTTACAATCAGCCCGGAGGAAGGACTTATTTCGTTTAGTCGGTAAGTCCGAGCAATACTCTCTTATTACAATATTATTATAATACACCTTACAAGTTTAGTAAAAAAAAAAAAATAAGCAAAATGATAATAATGACCATAATGATAATTTGATGATTGTGTAACGCGTCGGCGAGACGAGCCGTTTTGGGGTTTTCACAGCGAGTTTTATAGTATATTTTATAAAGCGGCAAAATGTCGATAGCTTGCAATCTAAACACTGTCAGGTTTTTTTAACGAATAAAACATATAATTCTTCCGGAGAAGAAAAACAGAAGGTAAATATTACTATTATTACGGCCGTCGAGCGTCTCGCCTTCCAATATTAGTTTTCCCAATACCAGCGCCCTTAAAATCGGCCGGGTTTTTTGTAATTGCCATCGCAAAAGTTTCCAGACTGCAGTTTGTCGATATTACAGTATGGTAGTCAGTAGTATAGTAAAAAGTTCGTTAATAATGGGTGAGATAGTTTTAAAATATCGGTTAATTCAATTTAAAACAAGTAATGCAAATAGTATAACAATGACATTTAATCCGAAAGTGGTGGGTTAATATATTTTCGTTCGTTATCCTGCTAGGCAATTTTTAATTATTTTGTTGAGTCTTGCGTAACTCAAAAAAGTTCCTCTCTTATGAACTTTAATGAAATATCCTTATTTCTTTGATTTGCTTAAACTCATTTCGCAATATTCGGTTTATGAGATCCGATAATTTTAATACTTACATTTTTGGTCAATAAAATGTCATCGGTTTAGGTTAGGTTGACTGGCGGTCGATGCTGACGCGGTTGCCTGTTACACGAGACAAGCTGTATTCGGGTATCCGAGTGGGGAAATATATGTGTGTATTATTTTAATGAATAACGATAACCGATAGTTAATGCGCTGAACATACAACACACAACAATTTATACCACGATCAACGGCGGCCGAGGAATAGTTAGAAAATTATTGGTTTTACGTCGAACCGGTTTTCGTCGTCCGTTAACGTATAATAATGTATACATGTATTTATTTTTACTTCGCCACCATTTTTTCTTCCGAAATTTCGCTTCTGCCCGAGAGACAGTTATAATTATTATTATTATTATTATTATTATTTTTGTTCCCTTCTTCTCCTTAACGATTTATATAGTACGCCCAGTGTTAATTGCCTCGATCCTTTTTATTACTCATAAGTCATACTCAACACGACTCGGCTTCGGTGTCTGATCAAATATTAATTTTAAATTAAATAATATAATAATAAAAAGAAAAAATATTATAATAATATTACAAGTCATAATATTCTCGTTGTAATATAATATGTATATTATATATTTTCCTGACCGTCGCGCCTCGCACAATAACGACACGACGACCTCGGTGAGTTTTAGTGAGACACAGCAATTCGCTGTAGTAGGAAATCGACAGTAGATGGATGAGTACTTATAGTAAGCAGCAGAAGAAGAAGACGGTAAAAATAAAATCCTATAACGGGACGGCGTACTAAAAAAAAAAATGAATGATGGCCTTCGGACCGGCTCACAATTATTATTATTATTATTATCACCATTCGGAGGCGACCGTTTTACGCGTCCCATTTGTCCAGAGTCGACGCCACGGCTAATTTTTCAGGTACACTCTCACACACGTTCACAACGGTAGTATTACACGCAGACCGAGAAAGCATTTAAAAAAAAAAAAAAGGAAAAAGACACAACGCACTAGGCTCATCTTCAAGGGGTTCCCCGTCGAGATCCCATCACACCTTCCAAAACGTTTAACGGTCGCACACGTTTTTCGGTAGTCCCGGACCATGAATAATAATAATTATTTATATATATATATATATATATATATATACATATCTAAGTAATAAACGATTCGGTACCATAAAAAAATATTTTGTAGGAAAATAATAAAAAAAAAAAAAATTATATACTTTTAAACGACGCATTTCCAATGACCGACGTTGTTTTTTTCCAGATTTGTTCATCAAATCAAACCTAGAAAAATATACACGAGTACATAATAATTAATATAATACTATTATTATGGTCCCGTTAAAAAGATATATTTAATTCGTATTTAAAATGTGATATTGTCGCGATACGACGCATCTGTGTATATAACTGTATTAGAATAATTTAGTCGTTTGTGATGATGAGATCGACCGACACGATCCTGTTGGGTAGGTTTTGGCGTTTACATTTACTGTAATATTTATGATTGTTATTAACATAATAATAATATACATATACACGTATAGGTATCCGTTTGAATATTCGACATGACCGATATTAAATATAAATTATACTACTCAATATTATGTTTGCGCTAGGCCACGGGCGTACACCCAAGCAATTCGGTACGCTTAAACAATTTAAAATGTATTTTTCAAAAACAAAATAGGCGTTATTAGGCATAAGATATGCTTGGGCTTCGACGAAAAACGCGCGTTGCACATTTCGCTGTGCCCGTTATGGCTTTCTAGACCGCTAAAGTTACAATAATAATAAGCACGTGTTTTATGCTTTCTCCCGGTGTCTTCTTCGGTAGGTTCTTGCTGCTGGTTATATTTTTTAACTTGTGAGTTGTATGTATGTACGTATAACCTCTTACCGGGTCGTGTGTGTCTCGTTAGCGCGTATCCGAGCTATAATATGCTCCGGTGCACGTACCTATAGTTTCTACCCATTTTTTTTTTATTGTATATTTTAATTCACAAACGACCAATGTGTGTGTGCTGTGCTAGGCCGGTGCACTGGTGCGCTGAATGGCCGGCGGCCAAAATCGGGTTCCAATTATATACCTTTTGGTAAATTACTGTTATTACGACCAAACGGATATCAGTAACGGTCTCCTCCGGTTCTGCTGCGGTGACGATTACCTATTTACAATAAAGGCATTTTTGTTTTTTTTTTCCAGCCGTTTTACTCATCTGCCGTCTCACAAGTCGGGAGTACGGTTGAATTAATTAACGAGATTGGTTTTTTACACGTGTGTTTAAAGGCGAAAATGACCAAATACCTAATCGTTGTGACCCATGACGGTCAATTTGATCTTTTGTATCTCGTTTGTCAGATGTTGTCGTGTGTGAACAAATCTGTTTCGGGGTTTTCGTTCACAAGAATGCGACCCAAATGCCGCTGTGAAGGGTCGACTCGATTTTTGAGAACTACCGCGTGTACCCGTCGAGGTTTTCGGTTTTTTCGGTCGTGTTGCGGATTGTTGTGTATTGTAGTATATTATGCTGTTATTATTATTACACGCACACGTTTTACAAATGCAACGCGATGGACGAACGGCGACGCGGTCGCTGCCGCCGTCGGGTACACTGTTTTAAGTGGGCTTGTCAGTACTAAAATAAAGAAGAAGAAGAAGAAGAAAAAAAAAACACTGGATTTCCACGCTACTTTCTCGACCGTGTAATTTTTATTGACTTCTATCTCTCTTTCTCTCTCTCTCTCACTTTTTCAGTGGTACACACGACACGCACTACTCTTCTCCCAAGGGCTTCTTCTTGGTCGTTGTAACTTGTAATCATTTTTTTTTCCTTCTTGTAATACCGCGTAAGCCGTTTTGGTAAACGACGACCTTAAAGGCACAATTATTACATGTTATTATAACCTATCCTTCGCGGAAAATTGTCGATATCGTAATAATTTCGTGCGTAAACTAGTTTGAAGAACGCGCAGTTCTAACGGGGAATGTGTGACCGAAAATAATTGTTCAAAAAATAACAACAACCGCGAAATAACGTTAAGAAATTAGGCGGGTTATTAATATTGTTATGTTACGGATGATCCCGCCAAGTATAATTAGATTAGACGCAAAGATAGCGGCGAAAAACGGTGCTCGTTAAACAGTTAACGACCGGTCGCGAATACTTGTTTTTTTTTTTTGTTTTACTTCAACAAATCTCACAGTCGCGTTGTTGTTCACGTCAAGCAGACAGTAGCTATGGAAATAAATACGATGTCGAAACGGAAAAACTATATTCGTTTCCCACTCACACTGCGTCGCTCTCTTCTCGGCCAAAACGGCCAATTGAATTTCCTATCCTATCTAATAATAATATTATTGTCACAGAGCGAGTCGGTAGCGGTTGACGCGCACGATATTGTTGTACTGTTATCGTGTGTGTACGTTTCGATTACCGCACGACCATAATAATAATAATATTATTATTATTATTATCATAGTAACAAACACACACACGGACAACGAAATGCTCAGTGTTGTGTGTGTGGCCCGCTCAAGACAATAACCTTATAGACCGGTAATGGAAAGAGAAAAACACGGTAACATATAGCCACGCTGCGCTGCCAAGGAGTCGACCGAGAAGACTTGGAAATATATAAAACAAAAAAATGTAAAAGATACTATATAATAGTAATAACAACAATAACGAATAAAAAAAAATAAAAATACCAAGAACGAGTACACACACACACACACACACAATACTTAATATATAATAATAGGGTATCCTCCCTACGCAATTAGCGGAGTGCGCCGGTCTGGCGAAAACAAACACAAACGAGAAATAGGTAAAAAAAAAAAAAATAATAAATAAAAAAAATGTTATCCTCGAAACCGTGACTGTGCCCGGGCGTCAAAGACCGTGGCCACGGATGGAGGTACACGTAATTATTATTACTACCGAGTTATATCATTTTTTTTTAACGTCTCGTTAACGTCCCGACATTAAAATTAACAGTTTCCCTTCATGTTCGGTCGTCGTCGTCCCCTTACTCCTTCTTTCTGCGGGTCTTCCTACGATATCCTGTGTACGTAATATACCTACTTTTTCTTATGTCCCGCCGGGTGTAACTCATCCCGACGCTTGCACCTTATCCTCTCCCCCCCCCCCCTCCTCCTCTGAGGATAACACACGGTTTGCGCGCAATTATAGAACGCACGGGCACACTGTACGTACCCGCGTGTCATTAGACCAGTCCCCCACTCTCATTTGGCCAGTGTAAGTTTATAAATCGCACGGGCCGCCGCTACCGCAGT